AGGGAGGGACACGGCCCCGGGGGGGGGGTGTGTGGCCCGCGTGGAACTTTCCGTGTCCCTGCGTGTCCCCGGCCCGGTGTCCCCGTGTCCCCACAGTGCCCTGTCCCCGTGGTCCCCCTCTGCCCCATCCCCACGGTGTCCCCTCTCCACGGTTCCCGTGTCCCCAAGGTCCTCGTGTGCCCCCCTCCTCATGGTGCCAGCGTCCCCAAGGTCCTCCTATGCCCCCTCCCCACAGCTCCCGTGTCCCCAAGGTCTCCTGTCCCCATCCACCCCCTCCTGCCAGTGCCTGTGTCCCCACATTGCCCCTTCGCTGGGGTCCCCATGTCCCTGTGTGTCCCCTCCTCAGGGTGCCATGGTCTCCTTGTCCCCATGTGCCCCATTCCTGTGGTGTCCATGTCCCCATGGTCCCCGTGTGCCCACTTCTCGCGGTGCCCTCGTCCCCGTGGTGCCCCTTCCCTTGTCCCTGTGGTCCCCATGTCCCCAGGTGCCCCTTCCCTGAGGTGTCCATGTCCCTACATGTCCCCCTTCTCACAGCGACCTCGTCCCCACGATGTCCCTTCTGTGGGGGTTCCTTGTCCCCGTGGTGCCTGTGCCCTTGGCACTATGGTCCCTGTGTCCCCACCATCCCCCCTCATGTCCCCTATGGCCCCATGGTGTCCCTTCTCCACGGTGCACTTCTCCCTACAGTCCCTGTGTCCCCCTGGTCCCCGTGTCCCCATTGTGCCCCCCTTTGTCCTCATGGTCCCCTATGTCCCCATTGTCCCCACCGTGCCCCTTCCCTGTGTTGTTCTTGTCCCCATGGTCTGCTTGTCCCCCAAGTCCCCCCGTGCCCCTTCCCTGTAGTGTCCTTGTCCCCGTGGTCCCTGTGTCCCCATTGCCCCCCCAATGTCCCCAGAGTCCCCTCTGTCTCCATTGTCCCCATGGTGCCCCTTGTGCGGTGCCCTTGTCTCCAAGGTCCCTCTGTCCCCCATGGTTCTCCCTATGCCCCATCCCTGCGGTGCCCGTGCCCCCTTGGGGGGGGTGCTGGTGTCCCCCATGTCTCCTCTGTCTCCATTGTCCCCATGGTGCCCCTTGTGCGGTGCCCTTGTCTCCAAGGTCCCTCTGTCCCCCATGGTTCTCCCTATGCCCCATCCCTGCGGTGCCCGTGCCCCCTTGGGGGGGTGCTGGTGTCCCCCATGGCCCCCCCCCCCCCCTTTGTCCCCCAGGCAGGGCTGGCACAGTGCCAGCGCGAGGCAGAGGAGGTGACGGAGCTGATGAAGCAGAACTTTGCGCGGGCGCTGGAGCGGGACGGGCGCCTCAGTGACCTCGACAGCCGGGCCCAGGAGCTGCGCGCCATGGTGAGCCCCCCGCACCTATAGACACGGGGGACACCCCCCACAGGGACATATAGCCCTGGGGGTGACACACGATAGGGACATACAGTCCCGGGGACACACACTAGAGGGACACAAAGCCCCACGGGACACACACGCTAGAGAGACGTATAGCCCAGTGGGGCACTATAGGGACATACAGCCCTGTGGGGGACACACAGCCCCAGGGGACACTATAGGGATGTATAGCCCCTGGGGGGACACTATAGGGACATATAGCCCCCAGGGGGACACTATAGAGACATACAGCCCCCGGGGGGACACTATAGAGACATATAGCCCCTGGGGGACACTATAGGGACATATAGCCCCCGAGGGGACACTATAGGGATGTATAGCCCCCGAGGGGACACTATAGGGATGTATAGCCCCCAAGGGGACACTATAGGGATGTATAGCCCCAGGGAACACTATAAGAACATATAGCCCCCAGGGGGACACGATAGGGACATACAGCCCCAGGGACACTCACTAGAGGGACACAAAGCCCCACGGGACACACACTATAGAGACATACAGCCCTGTGGGGACACACAGCCCCAGGGGGGACACACTATAGGGACATATAGCCCCAGGGGACACTGTAGGGACATATAGCCCCGCCCCCGGGGGGACACTATAGGGATGTATAGCCCCAGGGGGACACTATAGGGACGTATAGCCCCAGGGGGGACACTATAGGGACGTATAGCCCCCGAGGGGACACTATAGGGATGTATAGCCCCTGGGGGACACTATAGGGACGTATAGCCCCCGAGGGGACACTATAGGGATGTATAGCCCCAGGGGGACACTATAGGGACGTATAGCCCCAGGGGGACACTATAGGGACGTATAGCCCCTGGGGGACACTATAGGGACATACAGCCTCCATGGGGACACACTAGAGGGACACAAAGCCCCATGAGACACACACACTATAGAGACATATAGCCCTGTGGGACACTATAGGGACACACAGCCCCCGGGGGGACACTATAGGGACATACAGCCCCAGGGGGGACACTATAGGGACATATAGCCCCACGGGACACACACAATATAGAGACATATAGCCCTGTGGGACACTATAGGGACATACATCCCCCGAGGGGACACTGTAGGGACATACAGCCCCAGGGGGGACGCTGTAGGGACATACAGCCCTGTGGGACACTACAGGGACATATAGCCCTGTGGGACACTACAGGGACATACAGCCCCCGGGGGGACACTATAGGGACATATAGCCCCCGGGGGGACACTATAGGGATGTATAGCCCCAGGGGGACACTATAGGGACGTATAGCCCCAGGGGGGACACTATAGGGACGTATAGCCCCCGAGGGGACACTATAGGGATGTATAGCCCCTGGGGGACACTATAGGGACGTATAGCCCCCGAGGGGACACTATAGGGATGTATAGCCCCAGGGGGACACTATAGGGACGTATAGCCCCAGGGGGACACTATAGGGACGTATAGCCCCTGGGGGACACTATAGGGACATACAGCCTCCATGGGGACACACTAGAGGGACACAAAGCCCCATGAGACACACACACTATAGAGACATATAGCCCTGTGGGACACTATAGGGACACACAGCCCCCGGGGGGACACTATAGGGACATACAGCCCCAGGGAACACTATAAGAACATATAGCCCCCAGGGGGACACGATAGGGACATACAGCCCCAGGGACACTCACTAGAGGGACACAAAGCCCCACGGGACACACACTATAGAGACATACAGCCCTGTGGGGACACACAGCCCCAGGGGGGACACACTATAGGGACATATAGCCCCAGGGGACACTGTAGGGACATATAGCCCCGGGGGTGACATGCTATAGGGACATACAGCCCCAGGAGGGACACATTATAGGCACATATAGACCTGGAGGGGATGGTATAGGGACATATAGCCCCAGGGGGGACACGCTATGGGGCTGTATGGTCTGGAGAGGGACGGTCCCCTTCCTCTGGGCCATATGTCCCTAGAGTGACACCCCCCCCCCCCCCCCCCAAACGCCTATATGGCCCGCGGGGGGGGGGG